TGTACTGGACAGGTGAATTAGAATATGGATGGGCTTATTGCTAACCTCTAGACCTGATGAATAATCACAAAAGGCATTTTAATACTGAGAGTGCTTTGTTGACAGTCTTCACTCGTAGTTCACATAAAAACTGTAATGTTAAGCTCTGATCACCCCAAAAGAGGTCTACCCAGGTTTACACACTTTCAACCAAGTTCACTGAGACAGAAAGAACTATAGCAAAAGCATATTGGAAGAAAGGAAGCCGTCTGTATCCTTAGGTGCCCACTAAAATCCAGCCTAACCTTTGTTCGCGACTTTCTGTTTATAAGCTGGTCACCAGTACGAAAAAGAGAAATCTCGGGAAATTCAGGTTTTAACGGCTACAGATGCAAGCTTGGCGCAGCCCACACTCCCTGCGGGAACCGAGAAGGAAACACTCCTACCTCTCAGCTGATGAAAGAGCTCCTGTCTACAACTGAGTTTCAGTTCCTACTTTTTCCTGTAACAGATGGACACAACAGCTCCAAAACTCATGCCACAGTCTGGCACAGAGAGGTTATAACCAAGGTTTATCAATAAAATGTTCTAGAATAATTACTGTTTTGACTCATTTATCATTTATCAAGGACTCTTTTGAGATGTACTGGAACAGAACCGTGAACTTCCCTTCGATCTAAGAGTAGACAAACGTGTACAAAATAAAACCTTTACCAATTTTACCAATTACCCTTTACCACTGTAATTTGGATCTTACATTAGTCAAATCCCTCTTACAGCTTAACTGGGCCCCTTTACGTTTTGATATCCGTGCTTAGAAACCACTACAAACGCTCCCACCAAGAGTACATAAAATCCTAGCAATCCCGAAGACAAAATATGAATACAGTGAATCAGAATATTTCAAGAATATTTCATGTTCTCATAATTTTTCTTTGGTTAATTCTTTGTAAAAAAACAGAACACGACCTAGATTATATGGCTCAAGAACAGCCACCAGGGCTAGTAGCAGTTTGCAGCTCCTATTACAAAGAGCTCTGGTCATTAGAGACGCGTAGAAATTCAGGTAAAAAGCGCAGACGCACAGCTCCTTTCCGTGACATTCGGGCCTCCTCTTCCCAATATATGAAATTTATTTTAAGAATATTCATTTACGAGATTTCCCAGACAAATCCATAACACACAATACACATGGGGTCCTTTGCTATGTTATGTAAAGGAAAACCACGCATTCTGCATCGAACAGGGATAAGACTGTCCAAGCAGCACGTGACATACTTACAAATTTAGCATTTCTGACAACGCTTCCCGTACACTTGAGTTGGATCATGCGAAGTACAGTACATTCTAATCTCAGTGTACTGAAGCCTCATTCCCAGTATTGTTGTGGTAAAGCAACAGGGACGGTTCCCAGGATGCATCCAATCTGTTTATGTAAAAAGGCGGCAGCTTTTTCTTTTCATACTTTGCCTGCCCCCTCCAGTGATTAAGATCATGACAATTTAGAGCAATGGCAATGTTTGAAGACAAAAGTATTTAAAAAAAAAGTGTTTTTGCTTTTTTAAGACAAGCTCAGCATCAGTCCCCAAACCTCTGATAGGAAACCTATATGATCTACTGATTTTCATGCACCTTCTAATTACATCTTAAATCTTTCATTATTTCCTTTGTTAGAACATACCCCACTTTAAAACAGGCTGTGTAATTCTATATGTACGTGATATATGTACTACTAACTAAAATTTTAGTCAAGGTCAAATAACTGAGATAGTTAATAATGCAAACAATATGATTATAATGATTTTTAATCCAACAGTCTTTCCATGAGTGACAAATAATTAGCCACTAAAATACTAATAAACATAGCCTTTCTGAAAAAAGTGAGACAAGTTGCTTGTTGCTTTTGTTTTTAGGCTTGCTTAAGTTTGATCTTTCCGTTGTTAATTCCGTCTTGTAGAAAGCGAATATTATTGCACTTGGCACCTGGTTACATCAAGCTGGTTTGTGAGCTACAGAGGAAAAATTATTCTAGACGTACTGTACGGATGATTAGAAAACAAAATAGAAATAATTGAAAACAAAAAGAAAACCTAAACCGAAAGCTGGGGAACTAGCAACTCCTCATGATTTTAAAAGTCACTGCACTCGGTACAAAGGCAACACATTCTTGGATCACAGGAATACAAAGATCCTAGGATCCTGCATCGATCAATCGACTTGCCTGGACACATGCAGAATCATTCTGTGTAAGTATTCGGGAAGACTTTGTGAATGTTGGATGAAGGTCCAGTTTCCAGCTGCCAGATGTGTTTGGCTCAGATGTGACGGTCCAAGGCTACAATCTATTTGGCAAGGTTTCTTTGCAAAAAAACAATTGTGGATAGACAGAGGAAAAACCGGTGTCGCATGTTGAATCAGCGCTTCACACAGCTCAGTTATTTACCTTATATGGTCAGAGTTAGTGGTAATAAATTCAATCAGATAAAATTTAGGTCTTGATATAATTACATAAACAGGAATTTAGGAAATCCAATCTGCCAATCGGAACACTAAATCCTTTTGTGAGCAGGGATAAGCACTAAATTCTGCAACTTCTCCATAATGATTTAACCCTATTAAAAATATCATATTAGAAAGAATAAAACATGCAAGCTGTCAAAGGTCCCAGTATAATTGAATAAGCTGCAATTCAGGACAATCAGGGAAAAACACATTTTTTTAAACATTATATATAACCTGTATTTGGGGGAGGTTATCATCAGATCTTTATTTTCTTCGCCCAGGCCGGCCTGAATACAGTTTTGTCATTTGCAATTTTCAAATCTGAGAAACAAATTTGAATCATCACAGCGCCGTCTAACCACCAGCAGTGTTATCTATAACATGGACATACAGCTTCTTTCTTCTCAGAAACTTAAAGCAGATTAAGTTTACCTTTCAGATCAGATATGAACAATAATAATGTTCTGGCAAGCTCGTACGCCTCATGTTTCATGGAAGAGCTGTCATCTACTAAGATGTCATTTGGCCAGAATCACGTGTCTCCTTGCTTATGTAAGAAAATTTGAAAACATCCTAGAACCTCATTATGAAGCTCCTTAAAGGACAATGTTTAATGAGGAGCACAACACAATATGGCAGGTTTGTTTGGTAAAAATATAATTCAGAATCCTTGAGACCACTGTATGGAACAGTTTTTATCAATACATTTTTTGGACGTTTATGTGACAGTCTGAATCTTTTCCCTAGGCATTACCATTACATAAATGCTGAGACATAATTATATGATTGCAAGAACATAAGAAATGTTACAAACAAGAGGTGGCCATGTGGTCCATCATCTTGTTTGTGAGTAGATTCTCTGTTAGGAACAAACTGAAGTAGGTTGGAAAGATGTAATTTATATAAACCACTTTAAAATCATGAGTGACACAAACCAGGTTCTCTTGTTGCAAAACAGCACTACATTTGTCAGTTTTCAGACTATTATGATCAATTTCTTTCAGCCCCTATGGAAAAACAGAATTACTGTAGGAGTCTATGTCATGCAACGGCCCGACAGGATCGACCACATTCAGCAGAACAGAGGTGACTCAATCATCAGCCATCTCTATGATTCACCAGAATAAGTTCTCAGAAGGCTTTGGAATCAGAGAGTTTAATTATATTTAATTAATTTAATTACATAAGATAAATTATATGAAGTATGGCTTCTTAGCAGGAATCATTACAAGAGCAAACTGAATTGCACGAGGAACCATGTTATTTCCAGCCACTCAGCTTTAACATAATCTTTAGCCTCTGACTGAAGACACCAGTAAATCTGAAGGCCTGAATGGCGACTGGAAAACATGGAATCAAAAGAAATGTAACTGCGCTGTGCACAACCACTGAACTGAACAAGAATTTAACATAAAATAATTTATCCATGAACACGAATGTAATATCTTAACTTCAGCTGTCATGGAATGAACATCTCTTTGAATTAGCTGGCAAAATGGTTCAGAATGTGTCCATCTGTCCATCTTCAGGCGGGTCAATTCATTTTAAACAATGTTCATCCCATGTCAACAAGTAAAATGAGCTTGTGTTCACAGGTGGTAATCAATGCTTTTTTTTCTTTTGCAATATATCATTTATACTGTATTCTCCATCTATTCTCCATTCTCTCCATATTCACCATAAAAGGCCAAGGGAAACACTAGAGGTCTATATACTTAGAAGTAGAAAGGAGAAATTCTGTTTTGCTCTTCCATATATAAAACTGCAGCTTCCTCGATCCACATCTTTGGAATCCTGTGATTTATTTCAATAAAACTGCTTGAGTCTTGTTTGACCTACAGTTCCACCTTTGAAAATCAGGTTATTTTTGATCATCACTTTATAATATATTTTTTTTTCCTGGACACATGAAATCCTATAGTATAGATCTATCTGAAAGAAACTCTCTAGCATCTCTGACTTGTTTTAGTGGTATCCACAGTGTGACACTGCCTGGAGCAAGAACACAAACAAGCATTTGTTGTAGTGTGGTTCTGCTTCACAGAGCTGATCTCATCAGCAGAGATCAATTGGCCTTTTATGTGTGGAGATCAGGGGGAGGAGGAGACACTTTTTAGCACATTTGACTTTTTTGGTGCAGAACTTTTTGGCAGTTCCCAATTATCAGTGCACACACTACCCAATTCCAGTAATCACAGAGCTTGTAAAACGGAATAACACTAAGAAGTTGATTTTTTGGACATTTACTCTTCACGTTATTTGTTATTTTGTTTAATTTTTTATTTTAATCAAAAGGCGAATCACTCCGCCATCGTGCCACTGAGATGAACCATATTATAAAATTACTATTAAATGCAATTAACAGTGGGAGCACAAATGTTCATTTACATATCTGGGAATCTGAAACAAATGTGGAGATTTAAAATCATGCACGGATACAAAAAAAAACCCACAATTCACTGACAATGAGTCCTTGTGATCATGTGGAGCTCCAGCTAAACTAGGGAAGGGTCACCTACCTCATAATGATAGTCCATACAGGTGAGGTCCCTCCAGCAATGGTCACCTCGTAATTTTATCAGCCCCTGCAGAAAAAGCACAGCCTTTAGTTTTCTGAGCTTGTGAAACATGGACATTAAAAATGTTATTTGTCATATTGTGGCAGACTCCCCTAACCCCGTATCATGGAGTACAGTACCTACACATGTGGACCCCCTGTTAAATGGTTTCTACACTCTGTTTGCTGTAGCTTGAATAATAAATCTGGGATATTGTGCAACCGAGGATGAGGCTGGACCAACCCTAGTGAACAAATGTACCTTTAAACCTTAAATACTGCATATAGGAAAACTGACCATTCTTTGCCCTTTTATATCAATGTGAGAGCAAAGCCCAGTTCTCTCTAAAACACTACTGAAAACATACTGCTTTTCCTGGTCTAACTGAATCCTCACAAGTTCTCGGCACACGTTTCTTTTTATAGTCGTGCGAATGCCTGCGTATTTGGTCTTTCTGACTGGTCTCTAAACCGCACGTCCGGAGGGGAAACCAGGTCACACTGTTCAGCGAAACAGTTGCTCAGATTTACATATTATCTTAAATAAACGGCATTTAAAAAAATTTGTTAGTTGTTTTGGGCGGGACCAAATTGTTTTGGAAAACAAACACTAAAAAACAATGCAAAAGCTGTTTGAGTGAGAATGAACCTGGATATAAGTCTTTTGCTTGTAGTATTACATATGTACTATAACATGACCTTAGTATACTGTAATATGCCTATTTAAGAAAATTATACATCTATTTTTCAGTGTCACTTAATACCATTTTTTCCCCACAATGTGCCAACTCTTAAATCTAGGTAGGAACTCCACTGTTGAAGAGTGTGCTGCCCCAAAACAGCTATTTTTTTTTATTCTCAGTCTGCAGTTATTATCCTTTTAAAAAAACCTGCTCATTAATTATCAGCCGATATCTAGTTTAACATTTTGGCACAGATTCTATAGCAACCTATTACTACTCAGTTCCTAGTTGCAAATAAGTTGGATGAGCTATTTCAGTCTACATTCCAATTAATTTGAAGTACTAAAACAGCTCTTGTAAGGGTTAGAAACAATTTACTGCCGACTCTTTTTTTCCTCTCATTTTTGTCCTACTGGATCTCAGTGCTGCCCTGATACTGTTTATCTCACCATCTTGAACAGATCGGAGTGGGTTGTTGAAATGACTAGAACTTCTTTTGCCATGGTTTCAATTTCTAATTTGCACTGATTGGGAGATGAAAAGATTCAGAATGATTGAGCAAGAATTCTCCGGTCCAGATCTGGTTCACTGTTTCAGTCACTGAAGTATTTTGCAAAATTGAAAATACATAGAGTACAGCAACAAATTGGGTTGACTGCACATTACTGAAATACGCTACCTGAAAGAAACCAAGCGAAAACTATGCATATATACAAAACTGTCAACGTGAAATACAAACAAGGAACATAGGGGGTACTGTGTGATAAGATCACTTTGTTGCATTTCAAAAGTAATATTGGCGTTAGCAGTGCAAAACACCAGGAGGAAGAGCTTTGGGCTGCAAAAATGTTTATTTTGATTTTTCAACCAAAGTAGAATTTAGTGTCTACTCTGACAGTTTCTCTGGATTAGATCTCAAGGTTTTGTCAATTGTTTGTGTTTAAAGGAACCTGTCCATTTGCATGAAAAACATCACATACATACAGCATACTTATAAAAAACCCCAACACACACAGTGACATTTTCCCCCATAGTATACATTTTCTCTTGATGTACTGAAAAGCTATCTGCGTAGAAAACCAGCAATTAATTTATTTTTTAACTGAAAACGGCTCTGAAATTCTAACTAGGCCGTGATTTGGAAATTGCAAAATATTTTGTAAGAAAAATAATGTTGACACGTATTTCTGGGACTGCTACAAGTTATATATTTAGATATGCCTTATACATATATGTTTAGATTTGTTTTTTGATTTGTTGTTTTTTTTGTCCCTATTTTCCCTACTAAACGAAATTTAATAAAGCAATACATTAAAATATGATATATAACCTTGCATTCCAGAAATACACATCCCGAGGTAACTATGTCGGCTACATTTTGGGGAAAAAAAAATCCTAACATTAGCTAAGATGCACCCGGCAAAAATCTGGAAAGGGAGGAAAGATTGACAATTACTCATAGTGGATGTTAAATAGCAAGACACAGCAAGAGTGAAAAAAATGTCCAATTTTTTGAGACCAACAAACTTAATTTCTGACAAAAGCACAGCAGCTGAGGTGGCCAATGTTCACCTCATGGCGTGATACAGCCATTTCTACAGATCATCAGATTGTGGAAGAAAATTGTTCTCTATCGTGTTCCCATATTTGGACATAGCTAGGAAAATGTCACGTGGTCGTGTAAAATGTGAAGCAATCAATACAGACATGCTTGCTCCTGACCCCCCTCAAGATGTATGCGCCTGATTTGAAAACCTAGATGCTTCCAGATGTTAGTGCCATTCAATTCCAACCTTTCAGATGTTTCAAATCACGGCACATCAAACCTTTTTCCACTGGCACTGTAATAATGGACACCTGATCTTGGCTTACAAAATTGTTGGAGCTACCTTCTGTCGCTGCGAGATGTGTGGCGCCTGCGATTTCTGTGGAAGTATGTTCAGAATGACAAGGATGGTGAGGGAGCTCAAGGTGTACATCATTCCTACAAACCGCACTGAAGCTCATCAATGTTGAAGGAATGAGCGGAATACCAGTGAACTGTACGACACCGTGTTTACCCTCGGTGTCAAACTCCAGCAGAGAAAAGCCGACTCCTCCTCGGAATTTGAGACAAGTGCTTTGCTCAAACAATTTCCTGCTCCCCGGGCAGTAGCAACTGGAGATTACATCTTAGCTTTCTATCAGTCTTCTTCAACTTATTTGCCCAAGTGGTTTGATGTTTCTGAGTAGTATTATATAAAGCGATAAAACTGCTTGGTATTTAAGAAAGAGTTCAGCTTCCCTAAACTGAGCAAAGCTTCCAAAGCCCTCCCGTTGCATGCCAAACAGGCCATGGACACACTTTACAAAATGGGTTTTGTGTCATTTTGCCAAGACTCAGAGTTGTGGCCACAACAACAGACACTGCTGTCACTATGCAACGTTGGAAATTGTACTGAAAAGGACAGGAACGTGAAACGCATCCAGCTCACCAACACTTGCGCTAAAAGACACTGTTCATGTTAAGGACTCAAGCATGGAATTATCTATGGAACATCTTCTCATTGTGAGCAAAGGCAGGAATGTGCTCCATTTTACTCTTCTTGAAATGAGCGAAGGCACAAACACATATGCAGTCCCCCTGAAGTGTAAAACCTACCCATTAACCACAGAATGCAGCTTGAAGTCGGCACGTCGCATTAACACTGGCATGTTTGAGCGATCCTGAACTTGTGGACAGAACCACTCTGGGCTCCACCATGAACTGGTGGTCCCCTTTCGGAGAAGCCTGTACAGTCCACTGTTCAGACTAAACCTTGAAGGGAGTACAATCACTTTATATCCACTTCAACTCTTCAGATGATCTCTTCCGTCTTCACTCAATCTCAGGAAGGCCGTAATGGGTAAACTCCACTACTCGACTTCTCCATGTCTCTCCATGATAAATTCACCTTAGTCTTAGTCTTAGTGACCGACCTCTCAAACACACACGTGTTAAGATGACTTTTAAGCTGCATTTTGCGGTTCGCGGGCTGGTGCTCCCCACACCCTGCCTGTGCGATTTTGTGTTCCGATTTCGATTTCGATTTGTAGGTAAATCAAAAACATTTGTTTTCGGCGCTCACAGGACAGTGCTGAGCCAGCGCACAAGCAGGACAATCATGTGCCCCCTGTGAGTGGAAGCAGGAAACATTTGCAGAGCACGTGCACAGTCAGGAGAGATATTTGGAGAACCAAATCAAATGGACTATCCATACACACAAACCATACATTCCCATTTGCAATTACACAAAAATATATGTAACACAATGAGCAGACTGAAGTCATTATTTTAAAGATGACGGATGGACAGGACAGCCTCTACGTAACCTATTTGTGTTACACATACACAGCTGCTAAAATGAAAGGTTGCCTGCCTTACCCCAACTATAATTCAATTTCTCTCTCTTTAGTGGGAAAAGAGGAAGGTTTTTTTTTTTGCTGCAGGAATGACAGTTATATATTTGACTTTAATCCATATAATCGGATTAACTCTTCATGAAACCTGAGATTGCATAACTTTTCCCAGTGATAAAATAAGTTGCAAAATGATTCAGATGATAATTTAATATTATACTCTTGGAAATGCAAAACATCTTTCAAAAGAGAAGAGATAATTATATTCATCCTATATCATTAATTTTTTAAACTCCAGATGTCAGATTTCCTTCTGATGATTTTTTTCATGCGTTTTGCTGCAGCGATCGAGAAACAAAGCTGTCTTTCACTGTGTTTTTTTTCTTTCCTACAGAAAGCGGGTTTAGAATGAAAGTGCAGGCTGACTGGGGGACAGGAGATAAAGGAAGGCCAAAGACCTTCGGGGAAAGCAGTGAAATACTATTCATATCTCCTTGAGAATCAGAAATGTATAGACATGCCACCACCACAACAGGCAAAAATAACTGCAACAGTTAACTGCATTGAATTTATGCACCCCAACACCCACAGGGGAATCAAAGTTTCTAGATTCCTAAATTAATGACTTTGGAACAAAATGAGCCTATTATAATGGAACAGTGCTAATGACGAATCTACTTTGTGAGGAATTAAAGCTTTGCATGCTTAACTGCCATTTTACAAATTTATTGCATAATCACAGCATGCATAGCAATATTTAATACATATTTATATTATACATATACTGTATACAGCATATATATACTGTATATTATGATATACATACATATATCAATATTTATAGCACGTATATAGCATATTATATCTTAATCTCTGAAGTCATTTTATGGTTGGGTAATAAGTAGCGATAATGCAAAATAACAAAATCACTTATAACCCTCTAATTTTTTAATTTCCTTAACAAAAC